CCCCCCCCCCCCCCCCCCCCCCCCCCCCCCCCCCCCCCCCCCCCCCCCCCCCCCCCCCCCCCCCCCCCCCCCCCCCCCCCCCCCCCCCCCCCCAACAAGTCAGTTAATGAATATATTTTTTACATGCACCCAACATATTCAAAACAACTCACTTTTTTTTTGCTTACAACTGCAATCGTACAAGAAGTCTGGCCTAAACTATTCTTTTTTAGTTCATCCTGTTTTTTCCCCATATAGATGACTTCATTCAAACTCGGATTTGCGTTAAAAAACCCCACATACTTTTTTTTTCTAATATCTTATTAGAATGTTATAATCAAACTTCGATCAAAAGTTGTCGTTTAATCCATTTTACCTGTATACGTACGTTTGATATGTATATAGATGAGACGATAAATAATTATTTATCTGTGTCGTCTCGATAGAATATTTATGAAAAATGATCGTGTCTCAAACTTGTAACATCCAATAAACAACTACATTTTTTATTGTCTGTTAGATACAAGGTTCTCACGTCACTCATACAAACAAGCTAATATTTTATTGATCCTTTTTTCCTAACGTAGAAAAAAAACGTATCAATTCAAATATTAAAACCTGATTTTTAACGTCTCATGAGAATTAAAAGTGAAAAAAATGCATACATAATGGGCACTGTCATGAAAAAGAGATTGATGACTTGCACTAAACTCGTCTCTCTCTCTCTCTCTCTCTCTCTCTCTCTCTCTCTCTCTCTTTTCCATTTCACACGTGTGTTCATTATCCACTATCTCTCGTTAATCATTTACAGTTCAAGTGAAAGTCAAGTGAATTAACACATACTTGCGGATCCCTAAGAATAAAATCAATCCAGACTTTACTTATCTAAGAAGAATAAAATCCCTCCTCTTTAACTAGATAGAAAACTCAGTAAAAGTGATCAAACAATGGACAAACTTGAAGTAGATATATAACTGCTATCAGTTTATTATCCAATTCGAACAAAAACTATTTAACTATACCTTATCACCATATTGTTCAATAAGATTCAATAGTCGCGATATATAATATGTGTGAACACATGCGTGCGAGCGTCGTAATATAAATTGTATTTGACAAATAAAGAAAAAAAACGCATTATCCTTGTTAAATGACCAATCATCGCTTTACGCCAATCAACCACATTTATATGTGATCATTAACAGATATTTATCAAAGATAACAAAAACGTATCGGCGGATGGTTGTTGTCGAAACTGGTTAATTATATCCTATACAAATCTGATGTGAGCAACAAACTGAATATTTCGTGACTGAATTGTTTTGGCTACTATTCTCACTACAAATCAATGGTTTCGATTGATAATAATCACTGATTTCTTCTTCTATAACCGCCTTTTGGCGTGATTCGAACGAGAAGAAGAAGAAAAAAATGAATATCAGAGATTCTTTTCTTTTCTTTCACTTTTTCTTTGCAAAGCGAAAAAAAAAAATATCAATAGTACAGTTTACACATATAACGAATCTTTATTCTTTTATTTTTACGCAGATGTGACACGTACACAATATTATTACTTCATCAAACCCAATATTCTAAATTCAGGATTTGTACGAAGGCTCACTCATAGCACTCCTGTTCTCTTATTTTACAAATCTATTCATCAATATACAAAAATTTTCTTGAATGAGGAACTTCTCACTTCACAGTTTAGTGACAAGAACAACTTGAATTATTAACGGGATATAATGGAAGAATTATCAGTGAAAATTATTTGAGCATTATTCTATTTGTATCGAAAATTTAATCCATTTATAAGTGAAATCGTTTTGATTTCAACTAAAAAGAAAAAATAATATAATTTTGATTTTAGAATGATCATGTTCGTTTCTAATTATTTTTTTTTTATGTTTTGTATATTACTTTAAAGTATATTATTAGAAATTATTTATCTGTACATTATGCATAGAGAAATGCTAAAATAACTGAATATTTCATGTGACTAGATGTATCTTTTGTCATTATCATTCATATACGAAAAAATAGAAACAATTAGTCTTAATATTGAATATACATAAAAAAATATTCGGATAATATACACCTAGACTAACGATACATCACATTCATGTTATTCATGGACGTGGAAAGGTATATAAATTGGACATGCATCATCAATTACGTATCTTCGCTCTCTGATTTTTCATCAAACATCCATATATCCTTTAGTCTGGTCATATTTTTGTGTTGTTTGCTGCTTGTACATATATCTATATCGACCCTGTCTTGCATGTGAATAAATAATTATTCTCTCAATGATATATGTATTTGATGTCAGTTATATATCTATCAGTAAACATTATGTATTTGATCTCACAATATGTACATACATACACTCATATACATACACACATACACACCTCTTATAGTGAAAACTAATTATTATATATTGTCTACATTATAAATTCGGCTAGCATATACAGTTAGTCTATTGTCGTTCATATTTATTTCTGAGAATAAAAATAATAGAGATCAAAAGTACAATACATATGTGTATGTATGTGTAATTAAATAAAGAAAAGAGGATGTTGCTGTGTATTGAGATTAATAATATAATCAGTTTTGTGAATTCATTGATAGAACAAAACATCTGGAAATACTGACCGATGCTGAGAATTTAAAATAGGGAGGCGTAGTGATCAAATTATCGAAAATAACATTATACATAGCTGATAAAACAAAATGTAATAGTCATTGTCAGCATACGAATCCTCTTTGTTAAACATTTGTGAAATATTAATTCTGATTAGAAATTAAAATAAAACGTTTTAAATAAAAATTGACAATATTTATACTTTTCAATTTGCAAAAGTCCAACCGAAAATGCTGACGGATCTCTTTCCCATTCTACATCTGTAAAGGGTACATGTTTCTATTTAGGAGAAAAACCTCAGAGCTTCTAAGCGTTTCGACCAGAAAAACTCGACGAGAAGACTAAAATTTATACGGAGGGTATAACAAACATACAACTAAAGTATTTTCCAAAAGAAAAGTGGATAGTAGTGATTAATGATAGAAAATCTGATGAGCATTCAGTTTCATGGACAGCTATCTTTTTGTTTTGTTTTCAAAATTATTACTTTCTTGTCCATAAAAAAATTATATTACGGAATTGTATACTAGTTTTAAGAAGAATCTTTTTAATTAATTGAGATTTAGTCATGCTAAAAAAGCACAATGTTTGACTAAGCCGTTCTTAATAAACCTTGAAAAGAGAGAAGAACACCTTTTATCTGAGTGATTAAAAAAATTTTCATATATCAATCAAAACTACAAGTGATTATATTTAAAATCAACAAGAAGGAAAATAAGAGTCAATGTGAAGTTTGTTGTGAAGTGTCTATATAAATGGTAATAGAGAAGAAAATTAAAACTTAAATGGATAATGATAATATATTTGCATTGTTTTGAAAATCAAAAACAAATCCCTAAACGAACTTCAAAAGAGATTATCCTTAAAAAAACAACAAATAATTACAAATATAGTTAAAAAACATCCATAATTGAAGAAATAAAATGAGTTAACTAAGATAAATTAGCATTCATACTATCTAATTATCATACAAGAAAAACAAAAACAAACTCTATTGAGGTCATCCGTCGTTGTCTACTTCATCAAAGCAAAGAGAAAAACTATGAGAAAGCGTATCAAATTTCCAAAATATCATTCATGCTCATAATTAATCATTGTACAATAACATGATATCTAGACGATGAAACAGAAGAACGGATCAAGGATACGAGGAAAGGGAAAATAAGTTGGTACAAAGACATTTCTTTTTATAATAATTAGAAATACATCGAACTAGTATTTTGTGTAGAATTTACCTAGATTAACAATAGAGACCTATAGAGTCTTAAAAAAGATATTAATTAGTTTTGTTAATTTAAGAAAACTATGTGCAATTGCAATACTTTATTAACAGAATCTAAGATTTCGATTAAGCGATTATCTTAAATGTGGAACACTGCTGCTTTTTCACATAAAATTATTGAACAACATCTTTGATATCCTAAGTCTTCGTTTTTGTTTGTGTAAAATAAAGCACATTCAAAAAGTGCATATAGAATTGCATATATGAAAAAACTTCACTTTCAGTATCGATCAAAATTTTAGTTATACATCGTTTATATTAAAAATCGGATTCATTATCCGTGAATTACAACAAAGCAAAACTTGTACCTACTATTTTTGGATATATTCGAAACGTCGATTATTAGTCGAATGTACAAAGGAATATTTTCATAAAACGATCATATTTAGCTTAATCAACTACGCTTTTCACCATACTTTAATTTCAAACTGCTTAACCACAAATAATAAGTTAATTATTGATCAACAGTGCACCTTTTCCGCGAACAAAAAAAGGCAAACAATTGTGTACAAGTAAAATAAGACAACTAACAACAACAACGACGAAAAATGAATTAAAGAAAGCACAAAAAGGAGACTAAATACAAATGGGCCTAAAACCAAACATACATTTACAATTTTTCAAAGCGAACAACTAATAACAAATTGGAAAAAAATTAATCATGCACATAATTTTGTTTTGAATTCACATATTATTTGTTTTTTAAAAACGTAGTAAAATATAGAAAACAGAGGGGCGAACAGTGACCAAAAAAAAGAAGCATTATAAGTGTACAAAAAAAAAAAAGAGTTATACAAATAGTGGTATACGTATGGTAGTCGAGGTAGTAATTATCGGAAAGAAAAAAAATCCGAAAACATTTGAAATTAGCTCATTGTGAGGAGACATCGGACAACATTATTCATCATAGGTATTTCTAGATTTTTAACACACGAAAAGACGAAAAAAAATGATTCTAGTCACTGTTACCGATGAAAATTAAAAATGTGTTTAACTTGATCTAAAAACCGGAAATAAAGTTTCGTATATGACGAGCATGAAAGACGTCACGTAGAGATAAATAACAGTCATCAATATTTACAAAGAAGTAGAATGTGAGTACAGCATAAGTGCCGTTATTTAAACAAAGTATAGCACGATTTGGTATAGCACGATCATGGTCTTGTTGCTATTGAAAACATATTCACGTCCATTCAACTAAGAACGGAGATTAGTATCCTAAAACAGAAAAAGATACGAACATGTATTTAATATCTTAGAAATGATAAAAAGTTTAGTTTCTTGATGAATTGTCGATAGACTATGAGAAAAAAAAAGATTTTTTTAACATTATTCAGCTACAAGTATTCTTTTCCTCAAAAATCTTGTTGATTTAACGGATATATTAACATCCTATTAGTACTGAATTTTAGTACTTCAAAAATCGAAATTATTGGCTACGATCAATCTAATATATGATGCTAAACTATACTCATTCAACTAAGAAACTTTTACTACTTAAAGATAGATCTATAAAACACTGGAAATGTGAAACAGGAGACATCATCAGTCGTATTTTTCGACAAAAGCGAGAGAACGTAGGTAGATAAAGGAGAGAAAATAGAAGCATCATTCATATTAGCTTTTATACAATACTGACGTTTGAAAATGAATTGAGTAAGCTGTTACATAATGCTCAGTAAATTAATCTTTCGTAACATTCAAGCAATATTCCCCCTCAAAAAACGAAATTAGTTTAATAAGAAGAAACTAAAATCGTAGGTCGATTAGTTCGTTTACGAAAGCAAAAAATTGTTTAAAAATAAAGTATGTAGAAAAATGGATAATACAATGCGTTTACCAAATTTTTGATTGCCTGAAACAAAATGAAACAACGATTCTCATCGAAATTGTTCAAAAAAATATATACATTTCTCATAGAAGTTTAATTATGTATATTAATGAACACTTACATTCGTATCCCATCCTTCATCTTCACCAGCTAATTGATAATGACGTTTTCGTAGCGTATATAGACTGACTTTTGCCTGTTCAAGTTGTTTTTCTAATTCTAAAACTTTTACTTGTGCATCCATTTCGGCACGTTTCGTTTTATGCAAACTATAAGAACTAAAATCCATCGTACCTAATAAAAGAAAGGAAAAAAAGTTATATTCGAGTTATTCTATGTATCTGTTCAACATACTTTTTTCTTCAATAGTTGATGCTCCACTTTTAGCTGTTGCAACAACTCGAGCTGTAGCTGCCGCTACTTGTTTCGAGGCTTGTGTTAATCCTTCACGATTTTTACTTTCTCGATCAGCTTTTACCTGTATTTTAAATAAAAAACTTAATCCTTTTCTCTTAATATGCATATCACAATTTTATACACTTACATTAGATGCAGCAACAAGCTGAGCAGTTGCACTTGCTATTTCATTTGAACAGGCAATTATCTCTTCAAATTTTCCATCGCCACTTAATAAATGGTCAGCCGACTCACTAAAATGAAAACAAAATAAAAGATAGAGAAAATATAAGAGCGTAAGCAGTTTACTCCTTTGAAACATGCATATTCATGCACACTAAAGAAGAGATAAACCATCGATAATGGTCATCAATATAAACGGCACCCGATAAATATATAAATAAACCTCTGACATGCAAATAGTTGATTGTAAAATGTTTGAGATATGAAATAATTCTCACTCACTTATAATGGCAATAGTCTTATGCTGAAAAACATCGGCGAATTCAGGCAATAGGATAAAAAACAAGCGCATTCCTAATGGTAAATTACAAACGCATATAAAAAATAAAAATTTAAACACACACCATTATTATCGGTAGAAAAAAAATCGCTACCCGTATTCTAAATCTGGATTATTCATTAGAAAAAAATGAACATTTTTGCTAAAGAAAATCAATGATGTTAACAAATACAACGATTTCATATATGTAACGTATGAAGGAAGAAAAGCAGTTTGAAGAATGTTACACTAAATTGGAACGCAGATAACGAGAAGCCATAGTCACTCATAGCACTTAATTTATTTTGTACTTCATATTTTCAATTCGAGTCAGTACGATGTCAAATGACGTCAAAAAAAAGAACTCTACGAATTTGCGTTCCTTCAGCTAGTTGTGAATAGAAGTATTATAATGACTTACATCAATACTTTCGCATTGAGACCAACATTTTTTGCTGCACTGACTAGACCTTCTGTCCATTTATGATTTTTTGTATAAAATTCTTTAGCCGTGGCTGTACCCTAAAATCAATTACACATCCACTATAACATTTTCTTTTTTCTAAAAATAATAAATACTAACCCGGCCTTGTGAAACAATTTCTTTTTGTAAATCTCTTGCTTTCATTATTAATTGTCGAATAGTTTGCATTAATTCTCCACACGTGTCCAATATTTTACCATTTACTTCTAATTTAATACCCGTATCAGTAATACGTGATTTTTCCAATAATGCCTTTAAAAGTAAATACAGTTCATGAACAATGAATAATCAAGAGATTATAACCGAGGAATAAGTACCTGAATTTGTCTGACTGCTTCATCAATTGTCTCATGAGTGTTTTGTAATTCTTTTTCAACCAAATCACCAAGCTCTTCTTTACTGATATCAGTAACCTACAATGACAAAAAAGACATGAAATTGATGAGATAATCTTAAACTATCAAAATCTACTTTTGGTAATAAATTTGTTGTATGTGTTATTAATTTATTTAGTTTTCTTGTTAAATTCTTGATATCATCTTCAAAATGCTCAGGAATTATAGCTAAAAACAAAAAATTACAACATAGAATAAACATTCTCGAATACGAACAAATTGATTTACTTCGTCTATAAGTGTCAAATATTTCTATACAAGACGTTCCGACGTCACGACAATTATCTGCTAATTCCACTCCTTTATCAACATCTTGTACAAGATTCGATGTTGCTTTACCATGAACAACTACATCTGACACAAAATTTGATAATGACACACATTCATTCAGAAATGACAATAAAACGCCTTCCGATAACTGATGCTTTTTCCACTGATCATGTGTTGTTGTTAAACTTGATAATGATGATTTCAAACATGACAAAAGATATTCTGCTCCACTTTTACAATATAATAGTTCCGCATCATTTGAACGTTCAATACCATCATGTACATGACTAATACAATAATCTAATATTGACACTATGATTGAGAGAAAAAAAAGAAAAATATTACAAAAAGGAGCTAAAAATAGATTTTTGTTCATATACGTTTGTATGATTCTTTAAGATTTTCTAACACGTGTGAATGATTTTGTTGTAATAATTTTTGACTTTCATTTATAAAATGTAATTTTTTTGCTAAATCTTGAGTTGTCAGTTCTAAATCTTCTACTTTCGTTTCTAACACTTCTTTTTCATGAACTAGATCAATTAAATTTTCTTCATGTTCCTAAATTTGAAAAAAAAAGAAGTCAATATAATGATGTTTTCTTATTAAAATTTTCTTACCCGATTTTGAGCTAATAAATCTTTTCGAATTAATTCATACTCTTTTAATTTACGTTCAAACTCAGATATATCCTTGGTAAGTTGATTATCAACCTTCATTTTTTCATCTTGCAATTGTTTATATTGTTCTTGAATTATCTAGGAAAAACAGAAACTTCATTATACAAAAGTTCATGTTGAATAAATCAATTCAGCAACATTGTACAGAGAAGTTATGTAAAAAAGCGTATTGGCTCATAGTAAAGATTAGAGAGTAGATTCGGTACATTAAGAAAACATTATTAGCACAAATACCTTTTTCTCATTTTCAACTTCTTTTATTCGATTACTTGTTGCTAAATCCGATGTTTTAAATTCATTTTGTTCTCTTGTCAATTGTGTAATTGTATCATTTAGTTCCTATAAATAAAAATTAATCTAATGAATACTTTAACATGTTTGATGTACTGTTTGAACATCGTGTCTAGATTTCAGTTGGAATTCTATTCAATTTATACTTTTTATTTGTGCAGTATTTATACAAATTAGTTCATACTATTCTTTATCCTGACAAATTTTTTCGTTCAAATGTTCAAGTTCTTTATCAAGTAGCTGCTAAAATACACTTTTAAAAAATTGTTACGATGGCTATTTACTAAAATTTCGTCTAATTTTGACTTATTTACTATTTTCTATACTAAAATTTTCTTTATTAAAAGTTCAAGCCGAGTACGAGTCCGGTAATCTTTTAGATTCTTTTTGATGAAGGTGGTTTATATTTTAATTTGCTGAGCCCTGGATAGATATTTAATTTTACGAAAATAAGGGTACGTTCCATGTCCGCCTCCCGAACAAAATTTTCAATTTCATGTGAAACAGTAGGTGTTGTTATTTCGCTTTTCATTTTTCTCTGTTCATTTGTGTTAAAACTTGAATAGATCGGACTCGAAATACAAAAACTCAAGTCCGAGTCCTTCAAAAAAATCTCCAGTCCAAGTCCGCCAAAAAATCTTCCAGTCCGGACTCGGACTCGCCTATGTCTGCTCGCTTGGCAACACAAGTTGATGACAGATAGACTCGTGCAGCAAAGAATATAACTGAAATAAAAAGCTTTCAGATGACTAAAAGATTCAGTTATGGATTAAAATATGATTAGATGATCTGTCCGTCTGGACGATATAGTCAGATATGTGGAGTTAAAGTCTTAAGATTAGCGTTTCGATTAAAGGACATTATATGATGAGAGACTGGAAGAAGAACGTTGAACAGTTTGTTTCATTTGCTCAAAAACAAACACATCACGAAACTGAAGAAAACTTTGGGCAATTGACAAGTGCACTATTTGTCTTAAATACATTATTTATGTGGTCTTTTATAACAAAGAATATCGTTACCTTTCTTTACTACATTGTGATAGTAGTAGGTCAAAACATCAAATTTGATAAATACAGAAGCAAGAACTGTGCATGCCAAACAAAGAAGAATTGAAGCATTATGGTTAAATATATACGTAAAATGAAGTATGTCATGCAATCTACAATTAAATCACAATGAAGACAACACTCGAATATTCAAATAGCAGTTTCCTGCGATCTCATTCTCGCGTTACACTCATTGCTCATATTCTTGATCGATTTTTCCTGCTCGATGTTTCTCTTTTTAAATTTCTTTCTTTTCATCTAATTTTCATTTGCAATTGACTTTATAGTATTTTCAAGTGTTTGATTTAAATTCGTTCGTTTTTCAGTATCATTTTCTAAAGTTCTATAAAAAAAGCATATCGATTTTGTATCAGTATTCAACAGCGAAAATTCTATCTCACACATACTTGTTTCTCACTTCACTATTGGATAAATATTTTCTCATTCAGATATATTACTTTCTAAACATTTCTCATTTAATTCAAGTGTCTCGATTCTGTGATTTAAATTTTTTAAGATATATATGTGCACACAATAAAAAGCAAGCAGTGGATATCTATTTGTAACAATATTCGAATAACTCACGTCGTTTGTTTTTCGTAATTGTAATATTTCATTATCTAACGTTTCAAATTCAGATGTTTTTGTGTTAAAACTGAAGTTTATATGATCACAATCGTCTTTTAATTTATTATAATCTTCTTCCAATTTCTAAAATAGAAAAAAACATAAAGTAAACATGAGTATGAGATCACAAACTATACCATTTTCCAAAATAATTTGTACAAGATCAACAATAAACGTTTCTTCAAATATGTACAAGCTTTAGTTTTTTTTTTCTTTAACTGACCATATGTGAATTTAAACACTGTTTATTTTTGATCTTATACAACTTATTCTGATTTATTTCATTCTTATACCAATAAATAAAAGTAGAATAATACCTTTTTCGTTTCAAGTAATTGTTCATAATTTTGTTTCATTATGGCCAATTGTTTTTTCGTTTCTCCTTCCTGCAACAAATAAATGTTATACAATCAAATATTCATTAAAAATAAAACTTACTCGTCTTAGAACAAGAATATGTTCTTCACGTAATTTATTATATTGATCACGCATTTTAACATATTTTTCATCTGAATTTACTTTTTCTGTAAAATAAAAGAGAATAAGGATAGCTGCAAATTCTGTCCGATATACGGATTCATACGTTCGAGAGTGTGCATTTCTTCTATTCTTCGGGTATTCTCTAACTGTTGACGTAGTTGTTCTTCTAATTGTAAACGATGCTAAATAGAATGAAAGGTTAAATAATTTTATTAAACTTTCATTCATTTAAAAGCGCTTTATTTACATTTTTTTCTTCAATTAATGCTGAATCTTTTTGCGATATTGTCTTGTGTAATTCATGTGTTTGATCACGCACTTCTCTCAAAGCTATATCGTACTAAAAAAGAGAATAGAATAAACAAATGTTTTTGATATTTTACTCTTTGATAAGATGAGGATCACCTGAAGAAGACGTTGTTCAAGATCTGCAATTTCTTTTGCTCTAAAATTGAATAAATGCAGAATAATGATGATTCTATGTGTACAAAATACCTGTGGTCAACATGTCCATTAGGAGGCCATCCATCGCCCATAAACGGATCACTTGCCGTGGGAAAACTCATATTTGAAATTGTCTATAAAAAAATTCATAACATTTGATTAAAAAGATCAAACATGCACTGTTTATTGATACGCACATCTGATGTATCGATTAATGCATCTTCTATAACTTGCGTTGGCTCTGGTGGTGGAGCAACAATTGTGGCAACAGGAGTATGATAATTTTTATAATCTTCCTTAATTTTGAAGTTAGGAGGATTCTATAAAAGAATTACGCATAATTCACTAGCGACTAGTCGATCATGGAACATTTTATTTCATACATCAGGTAATATCGGCACTTTAATAAGATCTCGAAAATATTGTAACGTTGATGCTTGTTCGTAAAATTTTTTCAGTCGACGAAATTGTTCATTCAAACGTGTTCGATGTCCGGTCAATGTATCGCCAGTAAGACCTATTTAAAAAAAACAACCAACGCAATCAAATGTGATAGAATAACAATAAAATAGAAGACTTACTATCGTGCAGTTTAAATAAAACTTTAACAACGTAATCATAAAGTAAACTAGAATCTTGAACGCATAATATAAGTGGATGTAATCGACATTGTCCAACTGCTGTCATCGAATTTGCTCGAGATTGATCGAGAGACGTAAAAACTAAAAGAAATACGTATTCTTCGATATAAGAACTACCAGACACACAGGATTCATCGGAGCTCTTATTATTAGTTTATCCTTTTCCAATATCTACGTCAACAAATTACAATTACCAGCGTCAACTAATCCTAGAAGTTCGTCCATATAATCCATCAACTCAATAGATAATTGAAAACTAAAAGAGCATAAAAAAAAAGTTGACGACAATCAATGAAAACTGTCTCAGCGTCCTGAAAATACGTACTAAAGATCCAGATTATCACCAAATACTCTTCTCACATCATTTCCTTCACCAATGCTCAAATTACCAGTAAACATTACATTCTATAACAGATACATAAAGAAATTAAATGATAATACCAGTATACTTTATTTAACATACTCTTTCATGAAATCCCAGTTTTGTAATCATCAGTCGACAATATCGGTAGGTCATTGTACCGTAACTTTGACGAAGTGAGTTCTAGAAATAGAAAAAATAAACATCAGATTAATCATAATACAAATGAGCAATTGACAGCAAATAATATTTAAATTTGATAATTCCAAATTTAAATAAGTGATGAATAAAATTTGTGAAATTTCTGAACTTTTTTCATGCATTTCTACGTGACAATGTCTGATATTTTATTAATATATCGAGTTATTTAATATCACTCCGGCGATAAAAAATTCTTGATGTTTCAAAGCAAACATAAAGAACATAATCAATAAACATGCAGAAACCTATGAGGCAGAGCAGCTGAAGAATGAATGAACGATGGTGTACAAACCAATGGTGCAGATGTCACACCGACTTGCATTATAGGAGATTAATGTCGATATGCATACAACACATACAAACACAAAATAATAATCAAATGTCTATACACACGCACCCAAAACTTTCCTAATTGATCAAAATAAGCCGTTAATGGTATCGAATCATGAACAACCTAGAAAGGACAGAGACAAATTAATCAATACTACTATATTAAAAATCCATCAAGAAAAAAATCATTACATATTTGTGACCATCACGAAGTAACCTATGTATAACATAGCAAAATTTCCAACAAACAATTGGATGACTTTCCAACTGTAGTCGGGTACACATTGACCAAAATAATCTTGCCCCCTCAAGACGAAATGTACCTAATATTAAATCTAAAAAATAAGCAAGAAAACCCGAAAACCTATACGTGAGAAAAGAGAAAATTAGGTAAACATACTTCGAACATGTTTTTCTTTGGCTGGTGTTTCCAAATTATTGACAGCTTTACTTGCACTTTGCCACTAGAAAAATAATAACAGCAATGATAATTTATTACAATGCGAAATGTAAAATGGCCTTACTTGTGTCCATTCAAATCTTTCTCGTTCAACTTGATCAGCTGCTTTCCGTCGTACCGGAATATTTGTAACAAGTTGTTGTAAATTAACACTACTTGCTCGTCTATTATAAACACTCATTTTGATTTTTAATAAAACTTGTTTTATTTTACAATTATTTGTTAAACTGTTAAATTCATTTGAAAAAAAAAACTAATAAACTGGAAAATCTAAATTAAAAAAATATAAACAATCGCTGACTCATAACTTGGGGAAGAAAAGAATTTGAGTCTATCATGACACGATAACGCCCACCACGATTACATTTTTTTTCTATTTCTTTTAATCGTCGTTGTTGATCTTTTATTTTATTTTTTTTCTATTATCAACCTTTTACAATCGATTTATTTAACCTTCTTGGTGTTTTGTTCGCTTTTGTCGATCTATTTGCCAAAGAAAACAACATAAAATAAAAATGGAATATTTTATTCTTTGTCTATATCATGTGAAGGTATTTCTTTATTTCTCTCTTCTCTACTTTACTTGTCATGTTGAAGGGCAACAAAATACATATGAGTCTGTATTTATATAGTATAGTTTGAAGAAAAAAACAGCACATATATACAAATAAATAAAGCCTTACAATCATTCTCAAGGAGGAAAATAGGATCAAAACTCAAACGTAATAAATAGATGTGTTATGGACAACAAAGTATTCATTTATTCAGGCACCTTTGGGTGTTCCGTAGTGAAATAAGTCAACGTTAGAAAGTTTGAACAGTATCAGTTACAGTAGAACAGAAACCATCAGCGTTCATACAAGGTATGGTTGATGCTATTATGGCAACATTCAGCTTCCAGAAATCGAGATTGTACTATTATAGCTCTGCGACTGTGCAATACAAAGAACTTGCATTATTGTCACGTGGTATAACACATGACCATCCTGTAAACAGAAGAATTTTTGAACTTCACAGCCTTATTTTCTCCGTCGGATAGACAGCCTTCCGCTTGTTCCCCACTAGTTGTCAATTTTGGTCATCAAACATGGCCGCCGCTGAGTTCTAAAAAACCGGAAAAGTAGCTCCAGTTCGTCAAATATGGAACTACCGATTTGTCATAAACTTCGAGGAATCAAAATTTTCCAGATGTCGCTCTTCGAGAGCTTCTATCACTCTACTTTAGGGTCAAAAATCACGTCTTATGGAGATGGTTGCCACTAGTCGATGATCAGCTCGGCTGGAAAAGCTGAATCAGCTATGTAGTTCTATCAGGGCTCTACGAGAGCCAGAATCAGCTCGAACAAACTAAAACTTACTTTCCATAAATGCTTTTCTCTTCTCTTTTGCTTCTTACTGATTCGAAACCGAATATCCTTATCTGTACTTTCAAGGCTGACTCAAGCAACCAGGACTGAGGACTCAGGGAGCGCACTTGATAGTAACGCTAACATCTTCCTGCTCAAAATAACACTGTTCTTAAATACGTATAATAGTTAAAGCTACCTAAGTTTTCTACTACTCTAAATGTTTCGTCCAGTTTAAAAATATTTGTTATTTACATGAAGCTTTTCTTCTAATAACTGGAGCCTATTTCTCAAAAAAACTTAAGTTTTACTTAAGTGAGTTTCTCAAAAACACTTAAGTATAATTTCCTGTTTACTTAAGTGAAATTATTCACTTAAGTAAAACTTAAGTTTTTTCGAGAAACAGGCCGCAC